TATATCCAATTGTTTTTAAAATTGAGTTGCATTTAGTTTTAATTTCCTCTGTGTGTATTTGATCAAATCTAACAATTCTTCCCAATTTCATCACAATTAATATGGCCACTTCTTCATGGAATATACATCAGGTACTAAAGTAGTACAGTTGAAATGTTGCATTTCCATTATTACTGGCGATGAGAATAAATCACTGTAGAAGTACTCATAGATTTGCTCCATTTCAAGTATATTTGTTGTCCTCCTGGTTTTAATGGTTTGAGAATAATCTGGCTTAGCTGGTTCCTGTATTAAAACCTTTGTAGGTCCCTCTCAACTTCTTTTCACAGCATCTTCCTCCTTCATAATGTTTAACAAAACACTGAGAATGGATTACACAATATTGCCCTTGACTATTTTGTTCAACAGAGATAAGAGTATTTGCTCTCCAATGGGGTTTCAGACTTGGAGGTCGGTTGTGTGGAGTCAACAACTTATTTAATCAGGTTGGGCTGAAGTTGCTATAATTGTATACTGTGCCTTATCTCTTCTAATTTGATACTGTACACAGACAGCTAATTCAGAAATGACTTACACATATCAGTAACTACTTATTTTCTGTCTGCTAAAATAGTCAATTTGATTTTTCGTGATTCGTTAGGAGGAAAAAATATCCAGTAGTTTCATTATAAAGAAACATATAAGCCTAATGTATATATGCAAATATATATCTTTTATACATACATATATACATACTATGCATATATATATACTGATTATAAGAAACCTCATATAATTACATATAAAATCAGTATATATGTATAGCTGTATTATACACAAACACACATTGATTTTATGTATGTATATATGAGGTTCCTTGGTAATTGACAAGCTACAGTCTCACTGATTGCTAGATTCAAAATTATATTTTCCAACAGGTTTGTAGCTATCATCATTTGTACCTATCTTTGCATTGAAGTCACTATGAAGGTTAATATTAACTTTTTTGTAGGTTGTCACATTCTTTAATTTTTTTTCTTCTTAGGATCACAGAATATAGGACCAAAAGTCACCCTTGAGGGCATCTATATTGTGTTTTTATAGATAAGGAAACTGTGGTCCAGATGGATTAAAAGACAGATTATGAAGTTGTCTCTCATACCACCTTCTACCCCTTACTACTCAAACAAGTAATGCACCAAATAAGAAAATAATTGTTAGCCTATCCCACCCACAAAGTGATGAAATTAAACATCTACCCATAAGACAATTCCTACTTAAAAGATAACAGAAGGTTGTATTATAAATCTACCCTGCCTAGTTTTACCTAGTGCACTCTACACTCTATCCATCTTGCTCAGATTTTAAGTTTTGACAACAGTGGTATCTATCTTGTTCCCTGGAAGTTTTCCTTAAGCTATGATCACAGCTGATCCTCTCTACCCATTATAAAGGAGAGTATTAAAATCCCTTAGCCCTAGTGGAAAAGAAAGAAGCCAACTATGACTGGGGAAAGGTCCTACCAGTATAGACTTGCTTAGAATGCTAGTATCTAGTACAAAGAAAAAAGGACCTCTATAAGAATGTCAAAGGAAAGAATCTGGGGGGACCAGCTGAAGTTGTCTGCTCTTAGAGACTGACAGGGATTCTGTCAAAGCTACTCTTAATGGTAAATGTATTAAAGTCATCCAGCTTTGGTAGAACAGGGGAGGGGCCAAACAATATAAGGCTTGATAGTGGGGTTTTTTGGCCCTTTTTTTAAAGATGAAGAAATGAAGCAAAAAGTGGTTAAGTCATTTGCCCAGGGTCACACAGCTAGGATGTGTCTGAGGAGAGATTTGAATTCATCTTCCCAACTCTAGGCCCAGTATTCTATCAGCTTCAACACCTACATTCTCTACTCAAGCATAAATGTAAAATTTATAAAATACAATAGTGATTTTCTCCAAAACAGAAAGGGCTCTAAAATGCAGAATGGCAAATGTGGAACTGAAAAAATATCTCAGTAGAAAGTAATTTTCCAGAACTGAATTAAAATCAGAAAAGATGAGCATAACAGGAATTCTGTAAAAGCCAAAAGAATGGACTTTCAATTTAATTCACTTCCATTAAAGAATTATTTATTAAATATTTGCTATGTTCCAGGCAATATGCTATGCATTATAGATGCAAAGATGAAAACGAAAACAGGCCCTGCTTCAAAGAGTTTATACTCTACTGGTAGTAAACAACATGGAAACAGACACACACACACACACACACACACACACACTCACTTGCCAAGAAAACCCCAAATGGGTCACAAAGACTGTGACAAGACTCCAATGACAACAATACACACACACACACACACACACACACACACACATATATGAAATAAAAATATTAAATATGAAGTATGAGTTCAGTATGAAGGAGACAGCATTAACATTTTGGGGAATCAGGAAAATCCCAGTGTAGAAGGTAGTAGCTGAGCTAAACCCTGAAAAGAGCTAAGGATTCTAAGAGGCAGAAATAGAGTATGGGGGACAGCTTGTGTACAGAAATGGACATAGGAGATAGAGTGTCGTGCCAAGTATGTCAATTTGATTAAAACGCAGAGTAATAGGAAGTAACATAATTGGAAAGATAGACTGAAGCATGATTGTGAAGGATTTTATATTTTAAATATAAGTTTATATTTTATTTCAGAGATAATCAGGAACAAACGAATTTTCTTGAGCAGAGGAATAGCATGGTCAGATTAATGGTTTAGGAATCCCAATTTAATGGTATAGCAGAGGATAGCAATACAATTGGCAAGGGGGTGTTTCAGGAAAATCAGGAAAAATTATAACAACATTTATTTGTAGTAGTAAAAAGGTCAAGAATTCCAAGACAAATAATGAAAAGACACAGGAACGAAGGAGGCCTAACATAACTTTATATTAAAAAGCTGTCATGGGTGGCTTACTTTTATGTTAGCTACATTAAAAAAAAAAAACTAATTGATCAGCATAGGGCAAGTTTTCAGATAAGACATATGGACTGTTTAAGACATATAAGTGTGAGAAAACTCCTTGCATCAAATTTTCAATCTGACTGAGTTCTGATCAGCATAACCTAAGTCCTTAGTTAAGGGTCTCTAAGCAAAAGGTAGAGGTGGTCCAATAGCCATGCAAAATTTCACATCAATATCTTTTTACTAGTTGTATGACTTTGAAGAAGTCTCCATCTTTCTGAACCTTAGATTACTTCTCTGACAGCTAGCAGTAAAATATATTAGCTGTCCTAACTACTTTACAAGGTTATTTTGATATTCCAGTTGGTCATTAAATATTACTAAATCCTTATTATTATCTAAGCACTGAACTAAGCATTAGGGTCCAGTCAACAAACATTTATCAAGCATCCTGCACCATGCTAGACAGCAGGGATACAAACAAAGGTACAAGTCTCTGCCCTCAGGAGCTCACAGTCTAATAGAGGAGCCAACATGCAAACAAAATGTATCCATGATAAACTGGAGATATTCTCTTAGGCAAGGTCTAAGTAAGTAAGACCTAGGAAAAGTTTCTTGAAGGTAGAACTTTACTGTAGATTTGAAGGAAGCCAAGGAAGCCAGGAGGCAGAAATGAGGAAGAAGAAGATGCCAGGGACAGTTAATGAAAATGCCCAACATTGAGAGATGGAGTGTCATGTGAAAGAGATAGTAAAGCGAACAATGTCACTGGTGGGATCTGAGTTGAGTCTTACAGGAAGCCAGGGAAGCTCAGAGGCAAGAGTGGGAAAGGGAAAGCATTCGAGGCATGGAGGACAGCTAATAAAAATGTAAAGAGTAGGGAGGTGGAGTGTTGCAGGCAAGGACTGTTTTGCTTCTTTTTATCAGTGTCCTCAGCATTTAGCACAGTACCTGGAACATTTTAAGTGATTAATAAATGTCTGTCTGTCTATCTATCTATCTATTCATCCATCCATCCATCCATCCATCATCCATCCATCTATCTATCTATCTATCTATCTATCTATCTATCTATCTATCTATCCATCCATCCATCCATCCATCCATCCATCCATCATCTATCCATCTATCTATCTATCTATCTATCTAATCCATGTGAAAATTCTGTTAAAACTTTTATATAAATACATGAACTATTTTTTACAATCTTTTTTTTTGGGGGGGGGCGCGCTAGGCAATGGGGTTAAGTGACTTGCCCAGGGTCACACAGCTAGTAAGTGTTATGTGACTGAGGCCGGATTTGAAGTCAGGTCCTCCTGAATCCAGGGCCGGTGTGCTATCCACTGCGCCACCTAGCTGCCCCTATTTTTTACAATCTTGAGGAGGAAACAAAAAATTAATTAAAAAGTAATGCTTATCAACTCAAGGGTAATTTTTCTTTTTTGGATCAAATTAAAATTTTCTTTCCATTAAGATGTTTCAATATACTACTAACAAATCTGTGTTTATAATACTCTTTAAAATAACTTACTTTCTTGAATTGCTATTTTCCCTCTCTTCCTAAGCCTTTTCCCCTCTTCCTTAGCTTGTTTAATTTCCCTTAGGAATTTGTTTTTAATGGAATGGATTAGCTTTATGTTTAATTAACCATGACTTACTTATGCACACATTCTTTTTTTTTAAGGCAATTGGGGTTAAGTGACTTGCCCAGGGTCACACAACTAGTAAGTGTCAAGTGTTTAGTCTGAGGCCAGATTTGAACTCGGGTCCTCCTGACTTCAGGACTGGTGCTCTATCCACTGCGCCACCTAGCTGCCCCCCATGCACATGTTCTTAAAGCAAAACATGTGAAAGGCAAGATAAATAATCATTAAAATTTTTTTGGTAGTTTTCAAGGCATAGCCTCAAAAGGCTACCTCACCATATTGTCTACAGTACAGAAACAATTACCATGGAAGATTCTGTGGTAAAGGCAAAGGCATTTTTCTTCCTGATGACAGCCATTGGATCTTCCATTCACCTTAGCTAGCTTTGGTGGTACTCTTATCACTGTGAACTTTACTTTTCTTACCACACTGACCTTTTGCTTCCTTCACTCTTTATTGCATTGAGCAGTCACCTTCTCCAAGATATTCACATGCACCAAGAGTCAAATTCATTGATGTCATTGCCATGATTTCTCTTCCTTAATGGATTTCCAGAGAGGTCCTTTGCTCTACCTATTAGAAATTCAGTTCTTCAGTATCAGAGAAATGAAATGGGATGAGAGGAGAGATGGTTTGTATACTATCACAGAATCTTAGAAGTAGAAGAGGCCAACTACCCCAACCTATAACCAAAAAGATATAAGCTTAGTAAAATGTCAAAGTTTCTAAAAGAATTCAGTAAAAAAGAAGAAAAATGGAAGCAAGGAGATGAAAAATAGTGGCATGTTTAGTGTCTTCATGAGTTTGTAGAAAATTTGAGATTTCCTCTCCTTCCACTGCTGAGGTTGAACTTTTAGGACTGATGTAGCAGTAGTGATGCAGCACTGTGAGATGTGATTACATCTACTGATATTTGGCTTTCAGACTCAATGCAACCTACACTTTGCCAGTCCCTGAGCAGACTTCCCTCTCATTTGGAAGTAATATTCTTGTAGCTTCCACATTACTGACCTTTCACCATGACTTTCCATCCCTAAGAAGTAAGCAAAACACAAGGCAGTTCGCTTAGTGCTACTATACTAGTGTTTATAGTGCATGTTAATGAAGTGTTTTATTAACATAATGATTATTATTTAAAGAAAATCATTCTCCTGTTTTATTACAACATGAATCAAAGTTGTTTTTTTTTCACAGTTGTTATGGATCTGCAAATAAGGAAATGCCAGCTGAACCAAAGACCTTTAACCTAAACCCCAAGTAGATCTTCAGGGAGTCTCTCTCTCTCTATATATATATATACTCCTCCCTGTAAATATGTATCTACTCCTCCCTGTAAATTAACAGGTAATCATTTATTTGACTACCTCCAATGAGGAAGCCCATTCCATGTTTGGACAGCTTTAATTATTGTGAAGTTTTTCCTTGCATCAAACTTAAATATGCTCTTTGAAACGTCAGCCTTTTCTTTGAGTTCTGCCCTCTACTTTTTTAAATTTTTTAATTTAATTTAATTTCCTGCTTCTAAGCACTACTAGTCAAATTCCTCTTCTGCATGATAGCCCATCAAATATTCAAAGACAGCTCAATCTTAATTTGTACTCAATCTGAAGACTGCTATAATCTTCTAAACTATATGGCATTATCTCTAATCTCATATTCCTGGTCATTGTTATTGTTGTTATTGTTGTTTTCTCAATTAGTTGTGTCCAATTCTTCATAATCTCATTTGGGGTCTTCTTGGCAAAGATACTGATTTGCCATTTCCTTCTCTAGCTCACTTGACACATGAGGAAACTAAAGCAAACAGGGTTAAGTGACTTTCCCAGGGTCACATGGTAAGGTGTCTGAGGCCAGATTTGAACTTAAGATGAGTCTTTCTGACTCCAGGCCTGGCACTCTTATCTATCCACTATGACACCTAGTTTACTCATCTAGTTCATTTATAACAAGGGTTTTTAGCTTACAGTCCATAGACCTTGTTTTGTTTTTTAAATATCACTGATTTCCTTGATAATACTATATATATTTTATTCTGTTCATTTCTAAAAACACTATTCTGAGAAGAAGGCCATTAGCATCTAGCAAATAAAAGGAAAACAAGACTGTCAAGGAGGTCCATGACACAATAAAAGATTAAGAACTCCTAATCTATAGAAATAGGGATGGGAACTGACTAGTGATTTCATTGGTATCAGGAATTCCTGTTTGAGGAAACTCCCTCTACCAATGTAATTTAGCACCTTCTCTGCAAATCACAGATGCAAACATCCAATAGCATAGGACAAAGGGCAGATTACTAGGGCATTCCACTAGTAATCTCCTGATAAGTTCCTGTTCTGGCTCTACCTTCAGGTGATCCTAGGAAAGGAACTCACAGTATTTCATAGTGTTCAAGGCATGCCTCTACACATAAAACAAAGAGGCTGCAACAGGGGAGAATGATCAGTTTGTGTATCTTCCACCAATTCATTTTATCCATTTGTTTAGCCGACAGAGAAACAATATGATAATCTGGGTCAATAATTTTAGTAATCACTGATAAACTGTGAAGAAAAGCAACACCATATCTATTCAGTTTAAGTTAAAAATATAATCGAAGTTTCTCAATGAGAAAAATGAAAACAAAACTTGGTTTTAAGTGAATATACAAAATGTACATAAAATTAATTAATTAAAAGAGTTAAAGTCCAATTGACTTAAAATTGTATAAAAACAACAAAAAAATGCTTCCAATTATGGTATAGCCAGTAAATATGCTAAACTAGAAGAGAAGGGGGAAGGTCAAGGAAATAAAGATTTATACAACACCTACTATACGCTATTCACAAATATTATCTCATTTGATTCTCACAATAACCTTCAGAGGTGAGTGCTATTGTTATAATCATTTTACAGTTTAGGAAACTGAGGTAAACAAAGGTTAAGTAATTTGAACAGGGTAACAAAGGTATTAAGTGTCTGAGGCAAGATGTAAACTCAGGTCTCCCTGATTCTAGGGCCCAATTCGCTATACAAATGCATCACCTAGATAAGAGGGAATGCTCAGGGCCAATCACTGGCTATACAATTCCCATCTTCAAATATTTATTAGCTCATAAGAATCTGTCATTTAAGAAGTTTTATTGATCAAGCAGATAATAAAATACACAGAGATGCATTCATGTACATTCACTCAAACATTAATATACATACACACACAGTCGATAGTTACCAGACTCACTGAGGGCTGGATATTGGTGTTCTCAGAGCAGAAAATTTTGCTGAACAATTAGCAGCTTCTGGGGTGTATATAATTGAACTCTCAGAAGAATCTAATTTCTTTTATATAAATTCTCAATGGGTGTTGCTTAAAAGATCTTTTGTACTATGTGAACACCCTATCCCATTGACTCAGAGATAAATAATGCTCCTTTATTCTCTGACTTTCTTAAGGTTTTGAGGTGGAGTTCTTGTATGGAATTAGGTCAGATTTTCAACCACTCCTATTTACAATACAGAAATTATTAATGAATTCTTTTATCCTTTTTGAAAACTTGTAAAAGAGACTCACCCTTGCATCCTATTCTCTCAGTCAGGAACTATCTTTTCTGCCAATTGTTTCCCAAGGTCTTTGGGTTTTTTTATATTTACTCTAATACTTTCCCTGACAGAACCTAAATATCACCAGGCCTTTCCATCTGTCATCCATCTTTCTATATTATCTTCCCCAAATAGAGCATGAGTTCATTGAGAGTGAATTCTGCCTCCCCTTTCTATTTGTATTCTCAAAGCTTACCACAGTAGTTACAATAAAAGGAAATACTTAATAAAAGCTTTTCTATTCTACTTATACTCACAAGATATTATACATTAATTAAGAGGCCACATGGAAGTCCTTAAGTAGCTTTGAGACTACCAGGAAAAACTTCCAATCAAGGAATAGCATTGGCCTTGATGGGGAATAAAGATATTTCAATCATCTACATTAATTTCTGCCTCACGTAAACATCAATACTCTATTCTCTATGTCCACTAAAAGGAAATAGTTCTCTTAATTCTTCTGAAGTCCAAAAGGTAGGAAAAGATATGGCATTTGAGTATACCTTCAAGAATTCAATTGAAAGTGGACCTTCTTTTCTTTTGGATTCTTCTGATACTATGTTCTTAGGGTTCTCCTTCCTTTCTATACAATGTTCTTACTTCTCATCCACTGGCTCTTTACTCTTCTTCCATCCCTTAATTATGGATGTCTCTCAAATATTTGTCCTTGTTTCTCTTCTCTCTACAGTCTCTCTTGGTGACCTTTTGTTTTTGTTTTTGGGTTTTTTTTTTAATTTTTAGGCAATTGGGCTTAAGTGACTTGCCCAGGGTCACACAGCTAGTAAGTGTCAAGTGTTTGGTCTGAGGCCACAATTGAACTCAGGTCCTCTTGAGTTCAGGGCCAGTGCTCTATCCACTGTACCACCTAGCTGCCCCTCTCTTGATGATCTTACCTGTAACTCCCAAATCAGAATTTTTAGGCTCTCGTACTTTTTCTCATCCCTATACTATTATAATAGCTGAATGATACAAACACAAAAATCCCTTCTATTACTTGCCAATTTTAAACAGCAATCTTTTTTAGATTTCCCTGTCAATTTAAATAGAACTTTTTTTTTTAATTCCTTTATAGCCATTCACTTAAATAATTTTCCTTTTATTTAGAAGTGATAAAAGCCAACTGTCCTGATCACTCTTAACAGGGACTTTTCCTACTGACAAAAGGTATTTTACTTTATTATTTTCATCTCAACAGTAGAAATAGTCTAGATATATTTTCAGGGAAATTCCTAAGTTAGCACTATTATTTAGAAAAAAAATTCAAATAACATGTAGACAAATATAGTTTCCTCATCTACAACGTGAGCTGGAGAAGGAAATGGCAAACCAGTCTAGTATCTTTGCCAAAAAAAGCCTAAATGGGGTCATGAAGAATCAGACATGACTAAAACGACTGAATGACAACAATAGATCATAGTTTAAACAGGAGGAGTGAAAAATCTAGGCTGTTCTTAAGTCCTACTGAAATGTCCAAGACTCAAGAACTGAGAACTTTGGTCATAGTAAAATCAATCCACCTGGGCCCCTATCCTGTTCAGATAATTGTAGAGAAAAAAGAATGAAGGGTGCACTGATAACAGTTCAGTCAGGGAGGAAGCTGGGTGGTGGACAGACTGCAAGAGATGGCATTAGGAAACTATGAGTTGAAATCCTGGCTGACTGGCTAAATTCAACTAATAACCTCTGTCTGGCTTAGTTTCTTTAACAGTAAAATGGGGATAACAATAGCACCTATCTCTCAGGTGTACAGTAAGGATCAAATGAGAGAATACATGTAAAGCAGTTCAGAAATTTTAAAGCACGATATAAATATTAGTTATATAATTAGCTATTATTATACAGTGAGACCTCACTGAGAACACCTAGATGCTATTTTGTTTTTAATTTCTCCTCCTTGGAAACCATTTGTCTTTCATCTTTCTCAGTTCAAAGTTAATTTTGGTTGAAAGAGAAAACAGAAGCAAAACATGAGTTTGAAAGTTTAGCTTTCTCTC